TTATTTTATTTTTGAATCTTGTATGTACTTCATCTCTATATAAACAACACAAAATAAAACAAATTGTAAAATATACAAATCAAATCATTTGTTTAAACAGATTTATAGGTTTTCATGTCACGTAAAAAAAAAGGAACAAGCCAAGTTGATGAATGAATTAGTGTTCTTCTTCTTCATATTTAAAGTAAAACAAAATAAACACATACAGTAGAATCTCTATAAATCAATATTTGATAAATTAATAATCTCTATAAATTAATAATTTTTCTCGGTCCCGAGTTGGACCGGTTCAAAATATGACATAAATCGATAAAATAATAAGATAATAACTTTTTAGAAATTTCTATGTAAATATATGGTCCCATTAAAATCATAAATTAATAATATATCTATATATACATTTCTTATAAGTATAACCTAAACTATATTGTTGATTTTATATTCACAATGAAAATCTATGTATTCTTTCTTAATATTTCAATATATTTTGATAATATTTAGTAAAATTATATCAAAAAACCACATATAAATTATATGAAACATAGAAATATAAACTAAGCAATATAATAAAATAATAAGAAAGTAAAATTTCTAAAATTTTATGAATATATATACCGTAAAATTAGATATAATTTTATTTTATAAGTAAAAATATTTTAAAAAGATAAAAAAAAAATCTATAAAAGGAAAATTTTTGTAAATTAATAGCTCTATAAATTAATAAAATTTCAAAGTCCCAACATTATTAATTTATAGAGATTTTACTGTATATACATGATATTAGAACTAACTTGGGCACGGTCGGTGATGACTTCAAGGAAAAATGAAAATTTTGTAGAGAATGCAACATGACTTGTTTATATAAAATTAATAAAATAACATAAAATCTATATAAACTTAATGATAAAGAAAAAATCATAATTATTTATTTTATAATAACTTTGTTATTGAAAAATTTTAAATCGTAGAATAACATATTTATATTTGAAAAAAAAAATTATAATTATCATATTAATCTTGAATTTATATCTTAATTATTGAAATATCTAATTTGGGTAAAAAATTAAATTCACATTTAAGAATTTTAGTTTAAAATAAAAATTAAAGACAGTGTATTTTTCAAATTTCAAATCCTAAATAGGATATTTTGCAAATTATCCCTTTAATTTAACATTCTATTTCTTTTGTTTATAATTATAAGTTTAATTATACAATATTATATATATATATATATATAAACAATATGATTGAAAATTTTGTTTAAGAGACTAGACACGCGTAGCGCGGCCAAAAGATCTAGTATTGATAATAACCTAAAATAAATACATGGTTTACAATTATGACAAAAAAAAAATACATGGTTTACAAGAGGTATGCACTGGAAATTCTTGGATAAACTATGCATAGGGAAAGACGAAGGAGAACTAGGTTTCAAAGATATATCGGATTTTAATACGGTTATGTTAGGAAAACAATTTTGGCGTTTGATCAAGAAACCTAATACATTATTTTCTCGAGTCTTCAAAGGTCGATATTTTTGAAATGCTTCATCCCTGGAATCGATCCGATCATACTCTCCATCCTATGGATAACGTAGTATGGTACCTGCTAGATCTCTAGTTAGCAAAAGACTAATCAAAAGGGTGGGATCAGGTTCATCTATATCAATATGGAATGACTCATGGCTCCCAACAACTCACCAAAGACCAGCAAACAGTAATCATCACAACAGCAATCGCTACCCACATCTCATGGTTGATTCTCTAATCAATTAAATGTCACGAACATAGAATTCTCAGGTCATACATCCATTGGTGGATCTGGAGGATGCAAAGATTATTGAAAGCATACCGTTAAGTAGGCATAGGCAAACATATCAAGATGGATGGCATATCACTCTAAATGAGAGATATACGGTAAACTTCGGTTATCAGGTAGAGAGGGTTTACCCAGATAGGGAAAGATCTTTGCCGATATACAGACCCTCAGTTACTGCGCTAAAATCTCAAGCTTGAAAGACTCGATGCCCACCAAAGATGAAAAATTTTGTCTGGCAGTTGGTCTCGGGTTGTATCTCAGTAAAGAAAAACTTGAAAAGTCGAGGTATGCAAGGAGATGTGCAGTGCTCAAGATGTGGCGTCCATGAGGAATCGATTAATCATCTAATTTTTGAATGACCCCGGCGGTCCAAGTATGGACTCTTTCGAGAGTACCATTGCATCCAGACATTTTTCTTTCACATGCACTATTCACCAATATTGACTATCAATACTGGCGGGCATCCCCACATATGGAGGATCATCAGTTTGCGTGAATTTTGTTGTACATTTGGAAAAGCCGGAATAATAAGGTTTTTAGTAATATTGATGTAGATCCAGAGAAATCCTAGAATTGGCAGAGACGGAATCGTTACTTTGGGCTGAAGCTCAGATTAAGGTCACAAGTGGAAAGGACCAATTACGACAAATGGAGGAATTTACACTATCTTCGATTCCATGTCGCTGGTGTTTTACGAATGGCTCGTGGGAAACAAAGGAGCCATTCTCGGGACAAGGTTGGTATAGAAATGAATACAAGCGCAAGTATTTTGCCATTACATTCGGAAATGGAAGATCTCATTTGGACAATGGAAAGCATGAGGAATTTACGCCAGTATAATGTTACGTTTGCGACAGATTGTATTCAATGAAGATGGTTTCAACACCGGAGGAATGGCCAGCTTTCACACACTATCTGGATGATATTAAGATTCTTCAAGAAAGTTTTACGCACTCAGCGATTATTAATTTCCCAAGAACACTGAATAAAAAGACGGACAGTCTGGCGCATAGTGCCAGAAAGCAATCGTCTTTTGTCGTTTATATGGATGCAGAGTTACCGAGTTGGTTTATAGAGTCTAAAAAAATCAATAATATACAATTAACCTTTAGTTATAAGTTTTATTATATAACAGAATATAATTCTAATCATGCTTAAAAATAAAAAATACTTTAAAATCATTATAATTTTTAATAGACAATGACAAATTAATTTACTTAATTTTATTAAACAAATTATTTTTATATTTCTTACTATATATAATATATGGGAAAAGAAAAACAGAATCTTGTATTGTAGTTGGCTTTTGGTATAGTTTTGATAAAAAAAGGACCAAAATATATTTCTTTCATAAAAGCCAAAAAAAAGTAAATAGCAATTAATGTTTTTTAGGAATTGCTGACTTTTGGATGACTAAAGTTTGACCACATAAAATTGTTACCAGATGAAACAGTTGAGTTTTATTATAAGAAGACCACCTCTTTTCTATGTAGCACACAAATTACATAGTTTCCTTTGAAGAAAACGGTTTTCGCTTTACATCTATAAATAAATTATTTATTACGGTGCCAATTATTTAAAATCTCCCAAATCATATCACCTTTTCATTACATTTGTTTTATTCAAAATAGTTATTTTGTTTTCAACGATCTTTTTTAATTTTTTGTGTTTTTCTTGGCATTTTAGGATTTTCTCCCAAACAGAAATGAGTGATTATGATGAAAACTTTATGGATATCTGGTCTGATCCCGATCCACTGTCCATATTGGTCAGAGAGGTACAAGAAATGCTGGATCCAAACAACAATAGTCTAAATCCGATCAGCGAGACCTTCCCTCAAACCAACTTATCAGCTGATCCTCAGGCTGAACAAAGATCTGGTGGTCTGGGCGACACACTGGCTGCAAGACGAGGATTAAATATTTCACCGTTGGAAATAGAGAGAGTCATTCCATTTGCTAATTCTTTCAGGAACGTGACACTTGGTCTTTCCCCTATCCTTGTAATATCTCCAAGATTTAGTTTCTCCCCCTTGTTGCAATCCCCAAATATGTACCCTAACTCTTCTTCACAGGTAAGTACCAATGTCATTTAGAAGATTAAGATTGATCTCTTACACGAGATAATTATTAATGTATGATAAACCTGAATGTTTATGTCTTTGGTAACTTATATTTCCAGATTATCCCACCTTGTCCAATCCCTAATGATGGGCCTCCAGAGATGGTGGAAAGTTCAGGTGGTGCCCATGCAACGATGATGATATCTAACAACAATATTCCTCATCAGCGGATGGACGTTGATCTGCCTCTTCAAGGAGGTAATAGAATTTCTAGTGTCTTGAGTTAGCTTCCAGTTTCAATTTTCCGAATATACTGTTGTTTTTACATGTAAAACAGGCTCTGATGATATTCAAACGGAAGATACGTCTGTTTATATCACATCTCATGATGTTGAGTCCATTGGCACTCCTTTAGTCCCTTCTCTTGATTCTAAAATTGTTGCTGAAACGGATGTTATGAACCTCATCTTCTTTGAAAGTGGTAGTAATGATAAGGACAAAGAATACAACCAAGAGGAGGAAGAAGACAAAAACAAAGATAACAATATTGTTGTTGAACCTTCATCTCGAAAGAAAAGGTCTCAAGTTAACATTGAATGATATATATTATTTAATAATAACTTAACATCTTAATTAAATTGCATAATTTATATTTCGAATAATAAAATTTACGTGAATTACATCATTCTCTCGCAGGAAAAACATGATGGAAGTCACAAGACAAAACAAAACCGAAAGGGTCATAATTCAGGTGGAAAGCGAAAAAGACCATCCTGAAGATGGTTTTCGCTGGAGAAAATATGGCATGAGAAATCTCAAAGGAAATACAAATCCGAGGTACTATATTTCTTTCACTTCTAAATTAGTCAGGCATTTTGGCCAAAATAATATACTTATTTTCGTGTAAATGGTAATCGCAGGAAATACTACAGATGCACATACACTGGGTGTAAGGTGAAGAAACATGTGCAGAGAAGCGCAGACGATGTGAAGTTAGTGGTGGCTACATACAATGGGTTACATGAGCACGTTCCACCACCNTATATTTCTTTCACTTCTAAATTAGTCAGGCATTTTGGCCAAAATAATATACTTATTTTCGTGTAAATGGTAATCGCAGGAAATACTACAGATGCACATACACTGGGTGTAAGGTGAAGAAACATGTGCAGAGAAGCGCAGACGATGTGAAGTTAGTGGTGGCTACATACAATGGGTTACATGAGCACGTTCCACCACCTGAACGCATAATAAAATCTGGTACAAATAATAAATTCGGTTCGTCAATGTCTCAGTCGGGAAGAACACCTTTCAGCCTTTCGGGCTCTCAGATTTTCCCTTCTCCCTTGGCTCCACAACTGGATATGACAGAGTATTATATAGCTGGACTCTCTGTGCTGCCAATTTTACCGGTTAACAAGAATCATGGTGTTATGAACCGGGATGATGAACCGAAGATTGATCGTGTGATACCGACGGTACAGAGGTCTTCAAGGGGATAAGGGAGCGACTTTCGTGACTGGTGGTATCAACCTTTAGATGGGCAAACCTTAACCAAAATATAAAACAGAAAGATNATATAGCTGGACTCTCTGTGCTGCCAATTTTACCGGTTAACAAGAATCATGGTGTTATGAACCGGGATGATGAACCGAAGATTGATCGTGTGATACCGACGGTACAGAGGTCTTCAAGGGGATAAGGGAGCGACTTTCGTGACTGGTGGTATCAACCTTTAGATGGGCAAACCTTAACCAAAATATAAAACAGAAAGATATAAACCCCTTTTAATTATATCCTTATCTTTAATAGTTATAAACAATCATGTTCAAAGATATAAAAAATCTTGTACTTATCCCTTTCATTATGATTTTTAATGTATATTACTCTTGAGTTGACCTATTTATTTTCCAATAGTTAGAGTTTTAGCGATCAGATACGGATTTGGGTTTTTATTCGTATTCAATTCGTATTTCCGATTTGGTTACAAATCAAATTTTCCATGCCAAAATTTGGTCATCTATAATGAAAGTTCTCAAAAGACTCCTTCGGTTTTAGGTTGTTAAGTTTCGATTTGACACTAACTTTTTTCAGCAAGTCTTTTTATAAGAAAAAAAAATCTAGATGCTAAGGTAATCTAATAATCTCCACGATTAAAAATTAGCTTTCTGATTCTACTAATTTAAACTGGTCTGACCCACAATGACATCTTTTTTTTTCCCATTGAAACAACAAAAACCAGAGGATGATCAATCAAAAGACTTGCATGCAGAGTCCATTCCTTTCCAAAAAGACTTAGACAGTCTTTGGATGATATAACGAGTAAACCCAATGCACCAATAAGAACAGAAAATGTATTAACTATTAACCTAGATGACAGTATTTTCTGTCATGATTATAGTAACCTATCCAACATAAGGCAAGAAGCTGAAGCAGACAAAAAAAGGTAAAATCATTTATGAGTAAATACAGCTTTTGGTTTAAGCACTATACCAATATGTGGTTACTTACCCGACAGCACGACCCATTATATGATGTTGTGAAGCCAAAGCTGAACTTTAGCATAGAGAATTCTATCATATCTACGGTTTTTGTCACCTGGAAACAATAGAAATAGAAATTCTATCATATCTACGGTTTTTCTATCATATCTACGGTTTTTGTCATAGACTAGACATATGTTTGGAGTTTGGAGAAGGAGACGTGTGCATGTCGAAGCTGGCAGATCAACGGTATTCCATGCATCCATACTGCTAAGGTCATCCTTGGTGCGGGCAGAAAACTTTCTGAATTTGTTGTTGCTTGCTACACAACCCAAAGGTGGCGTGAAACCTACAGTTATGGGATCAGACCTATAAATGGGAGGATAGAGTGGCCTCGGACCAATAAATTAGGTGTGATTCCACCACCTAATCGAAATGGAAATCCTGGTAGGCCTAGAAATTATGATAGAAGGAAGGGAGCCAATGAGACAGTGTCTACTACCAAGTTGAGCCGTGCGAACAGAGTTATGACATGTTCTAATTGCAAAGAAGAAGGCGACTACAAGAATTCATGTCGGAATTCTTCTGTTCCGAGTCCACCTAAGAAACCAAGAGGCAGACCAAGGAAAAATCAGGTTAGGGTATTAGTTTTTTAGGTATTAGTAATGTGTTTGAGTTTTTTGAGGTTATTGACAAATCATTTTTCTATGATACAGGGACTACATTTTGAAGTTCCCCAATCCTCCCAAGCTCAATCCTCAGAACCTCAATCCTCCCAGGCTCAATCCTCACAAGCTCAAGCATCATCATGGGAAGTTCCCCAATCTTCACAAGGTCAATCCTCGCAAGCTCAAGAATCACAGACAAGAGCGTGGGGAAGATGGTTCTAAATGCTTTTGGAACAAAACCTAAGCCTCTTTTGTTTGGTTGTGTGTTGATGATGGTTGAACTAAGCCTCTTTTGTTTTGTTGTCTGTTGATGATGGTGGAACTAAGCCTTTTATTTTTCTTTTGCTGTGTGTTGTGTTTTGTTGTGTGTTGCTTCTGTAACAACATTAGTCTTCAATTAGAATGTTGTTGTTTTAATTTATCCTTCTATTGCCATCGATTTACAATCAACAAGTAAACAAAGTCTTGCATAAACCATGAGTCTTAAACCATTAAAATAAGCATAAACAGAGTCTTACATATGGTTCTCGAGTCAAAAGAGCATAAACATAAACAGAATCTTAAACAAATCACTCAAACCATTACAATAAACATACACAGAGCCTCCTCGTAGCTATTCAATGACAACTCATTTTCTTTATATAACATGATCAACACAAGACATATCACAATGCTTAAACAAACCACTAAAAACCCACTTTCATGATCACATTACGCTTCTTAAGTTCATTGCTCGCCTTCTTCACATCTTCTTTCAACTCTCCGTCCACAGCTTTGATTCTTTCGATCTCCATTTTAATTTTCATAAGAAAGCACTCAACTTTTGGCAATGCATCGTGAACCTCTTCGTAGACAGCTTCACCTACCCATTTATACAAGTGATCCTGGACACAAATCAAAACAGAATTGACTATAACATCTCACTAAATAGCCATCGAAGCTATGTTCAAACAATTTCTTAAACACAATCAATTGCACTCACAGACCAATTAAACACATACATTTCGAAACGTTGGGCATATAAAGAAAATTCTTCATGGATTTTGCTTTGTTTTTGATGTGTATACCCTTACATCTCGACCACACTCGCATTTCTCCGGAATGCCACGCATACCCATCGTATTCACAGAATCCTCACAACCCGAACTCATCATGCGATACTCGAAGAAAGAAAGGTGAGAATCGAGCTTCTTAAGGAATAAATCGAAGAGAATTGAGCTTGGATTTTTAGGGTTCTTCGTCGATTTAGGATTTTGGGAATTTAGGGTTTACTTCGTTTATAGACATCTGAAGCCAAAACGCTTCCGTTTCTTTTTAATGCATTTAAATCGGATGTCTTATGTTAAAAGGAAATCTGTTCTTCAATCTATTGATAAGTCCATTAGCTTAGTGGCAAGACCCCTATTACTACCTACGAGTGCACGAGTTCGATATGCGGTGGAAGCACATATTTTTAATAACAAAACTACGTAATATGACGTCGTTTAGATCATCTATATTATTAAAACTGAAATACATTTGAGAGTTGTTTGGAAACATGGATAGCACAATAAATGAGAATTGTTTAGAAATAGAGATAGAATATAAATGAGAATTGTTTGGAAACTTGGATAGTACTATTAAAAATATAATTTTCTTTTATTAATTTCATTAATTATATGATCTTAACAAGATATCACATCATTAATTATATATAACTTAATAATACATGAAAGCATTAATTATATTACCATAAAATAATCATATATATTTTTATTTATTAGTTAATCATTATTAACGTTTTGCAAATTATAAAAATGAAAAATGTAATATAACCGGGTTTTGCATATGGCTAATAATTCGGTTTAATCTGTTTTACTAAAATTTTCTTTTATCTTAGTTCCAATCGGTGAAAAATTACGTAATCAAACACATAATTCAAAGACATAGTTTATGTGAAAAAATACTAACTTAAATCAAAATAATTAAAATGTATTACATTTTTTGTCACTTAATGTTTCACTCCATATGACTATTTTATTAAATAAAAATTCTTTTTATTTCCTTTCTTTTAGCCAAACATATATTAAGATTATTTAAAAAAATATTTACAGAAACATTTAGGTATGAACATTTGGGTACTAATTCACGTACAAGTTGTTTCTTTCGGGATAATTTTTTATTTATTTTGAAATTAGGCCATGCTTAGATATTATAAATCTATGTGTGGGATTCGAGTTGGATCCTCCCGAATTTGAATGATTTTGATTTTGATGTGTACGAACATTAAAATATTTAAATAACCAATGTATCTGAAACGAATTTTGACATTTGTATCAAAAATAATCTTATTATCTGAGTCAGCACGGGTCTTTTGAATACAATTATGTATACAACAATACATCTAAAATATCAAACACTAATCATGAAAAAATGGATATTAATGTATGAAAACATAAAAATCAATACCCGCGCAGGCGCGCGGGTCAAACTCTAGTTTCTCCTTAATCAGACAAACAGATTAAACCACGTCGTATTAGTTAACGACAAAATTAATGTCGACTTAATGACGTCTAAATTTTTTGTTAGCTGGGTTAACGGTGTGTTTAAGTGGTCAGTCAACCGTAACTTTCTTAATAAACTAAAAAGTCATCAAAAGTATAGCATTTTTTTGGCCATCCAATATGTCCAGGTTTCTTCTGGCAATTCGTGCAAAGTTCAGACTTTTTTGGCCAAATTCTCGTTTATATATATATATATATATATATATATATATAATATAAAAATATCTGTAAATGTTTTCACTAAATTTTGTCATTGTATATATATATTCTAACAAACCTGTTGAAAAATAATTTAAAAATACCTTAATTTTAAAAACTTATGTAAATAATTCACTAATTTTGTTATTAGCAATGAGCTATTATTATGCATTAATATATTCAGTTATCGTTTATAAACTAAGAAATAATATTATAATCTATTTTATCAATTATATAATAATAATAATAATAAATAACAGTAAAAAAAATCCTAAAAGAAAATCCATCATTGAAGGATGGGTCCGAATTTAACATAAACGAAATCGAATATTATAGGACATAAAGGATATTCACAAATATTTGTTTATTACAATTTCAACCAGTTATTTAAATACATAAGTTCGTAACAAAATATAGACTATTATGCAAATTGAGTCAAAAAGCTCAACCATGAAATTTTATATACTAGATTATCATTTCCTTTTAAACAAAAAAAAAGATTCATTTTCTCAAGTTCAAATGACTATCTTTTCTTAAATGTATAATTATGGTGGTCACACAAATTTATATGTCGTTGTTATAAAGTTATATTTTGATCTATTCCATGCAT